ACCGAATTGCTAGTGTTAACGTCTATATTACTCGGATTACTAGGATTTTAATAGACAAGATAAAACGCATAAAATCTGTACTTAAAGTTTCTTCAAAACGTAATTTTCATTTCTTCCTATAATGCATATTTAATCTTATGTCAGCGGGGAAAGCTGGTTGCGTAAAGCTTTGTCATTTAATAATGCACCGCGTTTGAATACTTTAATATTTTTCACATGATATTGCACATGATGGCAGTGAATTAAAAAAAATACGTCTTGGGCAGGACTTAACCCGCGCATCCACAGTGTATCGTGCTTTTGCTCTAACCAATTGAGCTGCCGAGTCCTACACGTCGTCGTCGTTTTTTTTCAACTTATTGATACACCTTGCGCGCAATGTAATCCAATGTTCTTTAGAAAGAAATATATTGCTGGTACAAGTATAACGTCACTCAACGGATTCTACCCCCGGAAACTTGCAGAAATACACCTGCATACGACACTTGAGAAAAGAAGACTAGGCGGGGGTTGGCCCGGGGGGCAGGGGTTGGCAAATGACTATTCCTATTTTAAATTAAAATACAATGAATGAAAGAGATGTCGCCCTTAATTTAACTTTATGCAGCTCCTCACGGGGTATTAAAGTAAAATAGCAAGTTCGGTTCTTAACTTAATCAAAATTAATTGCTATGAAAACAAATACACAGTAGTACAAATTTAAATAAAAGATTTTAACGGTTTAAAACGCGATAAATATTAGTTAAACTTATTTGGAGATTATTTTAACTACGGTCCGACGTTTCGGATCGAAACACAATCAAAACCACGACTGCTGCAAAAGCAAGCACTTTTGCAGCAGTCGTGGTTTCGATTGTGTTATAAACGATACTAAATAAAAGAACTAAGTACATTTTTAATAACTATTATTTAAACAAAACAATTTAACAATTAAAAACGTGAAATATATCAGTTACTGAGTACATAAAATAATGTTTAAATCAGTTAAACTAATATAAATCGCGTTTTAAACCGTTAAAGTGTAATTATTTAAATGCAGTAAGTAGTTTATTACTTTGCAGTACGATAAAAGTTGAACATTTCGAATTGCAACATGACGTAATAAAACACCTAACCATTATATATGCACCGGTGGGCTTTTGCATTCCCAAGAATTCGAGGTACAGCGAAACGTAATACTTGCAGAACAAGCAACTTGGCAAGACCGACATGCAAATGATAAATGAGAAACTAAATATTATTAATTTCGCGAATTAACTTTATACTAGACTATAGTTTTCCATTCTAGCACTTAAATTAAAAACTGATTTTCATAAACAAAGCGAAATCGCGTTACCCTATGTGGGGCATGGCGCAAAATTGAGTTTCTGCCATGGTCGATTTTTTATAAACCTGAGCTTAACGCAATGCTAGAGTGCGAATGAAAACAATCCTAAGTAAACTGACTACTTCTTAAGATTGTAAGGGATTTTATTAAAACACCTTTAACGGTTTAAAACGCGAAACGTATTAATTAATTTTAAAGAGAATATACAATTTTACCTTAAAAAGTTATTACTAATCACTACACAGTATAAGACAAAGTCGCTTTTTCTCTCCCTATGTACGCATGTAATAGATAGAGTAATTCAAGACGAAGGGTTTGTTTAGAATGTTCTCAGCTTTTTTTGTAGTGTATTTATTTTCACCATTGCAATAAATAACAAAAAATAATTATTTGTCCTTCATATTGCTGAAAAAATGGTAACTGCGCAGTAGGGTTCGTCACCTCTTCTACTTGTTCAAACAATCGAAGTCATATTCATTTTGAAATTCAAATTAAGAATCTTGTCTCCAAACTCGGTATATGGACACGTACGTTTACAAGCGCTATGTGTCGTCTCAATTAGATTAAATGATAAGGACCTTGCTAATATTTACGACTTGAAGCAATAATTAAGGGCGTGTACATATTTATCTATCGAATATTTCGTTTAACACACGAATTCACCTGCTGCCAGTGTTAATTAACATAATTTTATCTATCTATACTAATATATACAGCTTTTGTTTATTTGTTTGTTTGAACGCGCTAATCTCAGGAACTACTGGTTCGAATTGCAAAATTCTTTTTGTATTTGTTAGACCATTTATGCATATGGACCGAGGATGGCTATAGGCCATAAAACATTTGCAAAAACAAATTTTGAAACCCAAAATAAATAATACGGACCAAGTGGCTGCCACAGCTAGTGCTTAATAAATCTTAATCGCGTTATTTCTTATACAAGTAAGCTACCTTCATATTTATGCATATTGAACATCGATTCTTTGGCAGGATGCCAGTCCGGATAACCTTCCGCCGGACGTAATTTAAAGAGCTTAATTATGCTAATACGGCACCTCTCTTTAAATTTATCTAAAGAGATACTCAGTCGCGTGGAGAAGTGAATTTTAGCTTAAATAATATGATGATATATGGAACTCGAACCCAATTCCATTCCGATCACCAAACGTAATGTTTTAAATATTTTATATCGATGTACAGCCGAGGGTACGGTTTTATGAATAATTTGGTTCACTACGATATTTGACGTATTGACGTGTTTCTCTTAATATTGTATAATAACATACATTTTATATGATATGTTATTGTACAATATTTTCTTCATTGTAGAGTACCTTTTTAACATAATTCACGAAACAAAACAAACTCACTAATAGTAAGTAAATGAAGGAGACTAGGTAATGTAAAATTCACTATAAAATTCACATTTTACCCTTGAAATTTTTTCGTCTTAAAATTTTGTTAGTATAAGAACGAATCCTAGTAAAGTAATGACGTCATTCAATAATTCTGATCGCGTACAAAACAAAATGAATAAGGAAATATTCTTTTAACAAAATATATGTAAATTCTAGTTTCATGAGCTTACTGTCAAGCTTAGAAAACGTTAAATAAGTTATTTTTTTAAACTTTCTAGCATAGGAGCCAGTAAACAAAGAGCTAAAGATGAAGAAATTAACACAAAAAGCTTTTACACCAGTTTAACACTTACTCTATAATTGAAATTCCATTACTTCATTCGGTTTAGATAGTTTTCCATAGAAACAATCTATACTAATATTACAAATGCGAAAGTAACTCTGTCTGTCTGTCCGGCTGTAACTCCGAAACTACTGAACTGATTTAAATAAAATTTGGTACACAGATATTTTAGAGCCTGAGAGAAGGACATACTTTTTAATTCCAAAAAAGGGTTGATAGGGGTTGAAAAAGGGGGGTGGAACTTTGTATGGAAATTCATGGTTTCATTTATGGTTTTTGAAGCTAGGACAGTGAAACTTTCTTCTTTGGCTTTTTGGGAATAGGAGTGGGAGTGGGAGTGGGAGTGAGAGTGGGAGTTAGAGTAGGAGTGATTTCAGGTGAGAGTCTTGCGGCAAAGTAGCTCTAACAACATAGATTGGCTGCCTTAAATGGACCCTTACATAAATTAATAAACAGCCTAAATAATTAAAAATTCTACCCCAATTCACTATTCCACGCGGACGAAGTCGTGGGCACAGCTAGTTAAAAATAAATCCATATTCCTGCCTATTTTATACTACTTGGAGTTAATATATAATAAATACAGCAGTTGCATCATAAAATGTGTCGCAAAAATAAATAACATGATTAACCAAGATTTATATCTTAAATAATTCCAGTATATTGTTTGTTGGTCCATGGTACAAGCCTACCACCTATTTTCCCAAAGTTTTGCAACATTTGAGTCATCAATACAAATTGAATCCACTGCAAAAGACTCACGCCCACAAGTACACCGGGTCACCGTCGTATATGCACAAGAAGTGGTCAATCCGGTTCCCCTTACACCCACATGACCAGTTTCTTTAGATAATCATTCACCATGCACATCGTGACACCATACAAGATCGAAAATCGAAAGCGCCTAGCCCGCTTTTAAAAACATAAATATAAGTAGGTGATCTTTTATGCGATTATTTAAATTTAGAATTGTCACTTAAAGTTATGCGAGCGGTCGATTACTCCGTTAACAACAATAGTAGTATTAAAAGGTAACAGGTAACATTCATGTTTAGAACAATAAAATAAAAAAAAAAATCTTCAGACGAGGTACTAACGAAAAACAAATAGAAGCAAGGGTTAGAATTACCTTCATTGTCGTTGTTTCCTTCTCCGTTGTGAGCCGAAGCCAACAAAACGCCGACCCACAGAAGGCTCAAAAACCTCACAATCATTTTAACTGATTTTAAAGTACACACAGTTCACGGTTTATTGGGGGAAAAAAATTATTCACTCAACATAATCGTACCGATAACACTAGCGCTGCGCCTCAAAGTAGCGATCAGCCTTCCTTGGGCAAATGGCGGCGGATGACGGATCACGGATGTATTCATCGATTGTGTTCGAGTCTGCGCAGTGCGCATAAGCTGTTGATGTATTTTTATTATGGCAACATACCCTTCTTTCTACTTGATTTCAACATTAAATTATATTATTTTATGAATCTGAGGGACATAGATGTAATAGCTTAATGTACTATTTACGTTTATCAAACCCAGTATATCAAATATTTTTCAAACATTTTATTCTATTATGTGGTTTAAATAACAATGAATCTTTAGTTGTAAACATATTGCTACTTTTTTTATATTGTTAATTAAAAAAAATAAAATATTTTTAACTGTTTTTAATTAATATGAAATAAAATCATAAATATATCATTGCCCCTCACGAAAACATTGGTTGCTGATTTTTAGGAAATGGCAACATTAGAGTTTCGAAAGTTCAATTTTGCATGGCGGACGTGCTAGTGGGTTCTGTTATTTGTTGGTGATAATTTCTTTTATTATTTCTTTGAGAATCCTTATGGAAAGGCAAATATTCATGTTATTATTTCTTTGTGGTCGTGCTCTATTCATTCCTTAACCTCGGATGATGTTAAAGTGTTAGTTTTTTTGTTGATATTGTAAGAACTGCATAGGTTTTCTCAAAAATGGGAAAATGTGACGAAGCTAATGTCGAAGTTAATATGGGGGACTCGGCGTCCCCCATGAAACCTGATAATTTTACATTCACCGTACCCCCCGAGGCTCCTGTCTTCGAACCAACACCTGAAGAGTTCTTGGATCCTTTGGCGTACATCAGTAAAATCAGACCAATTGCGGAGAAGTCGGGGATATGCAAAATAAAACCCCCTGCGGTATGTTTTTCTTTGTTTTAAACTGGTCAGGTTTAGTCCTTTTTACATTAGATATCTTTGTATTTATTGCAACTACGTTTGAACTATTTAATATTTCGATTTATAACCCCTTTGTGCACGTTTAATAGGACTGTGATGCAACCGTGTCATTGGGTTTTTTATGTTATCGAACTAACAAATTTGATATTTGCTTCTACAACATTCATCTTTATCTTACGTGGTGTTGTAAAATTAAGTCGGAAGTGCATATAATTGTCCTCCAGTGCAGTTGCATATTGTTGGAATGGACTGGTTGCCATTTTGTGTCGTGCCTTCGACCTGCGATAGTTTTGATAAAAAGTAACATCGCCTTTCGATTTATCGTAAATAACGCTGAAACTATTACATCATATTATACCAATGTCTTAAAGCTTAATAATGCAAAAAATATATGTACCTACCTTAATGAAACAGAAATAGGTATCTATCTATAACTATATATAAACAAAACTTATGTAGTGGCTTAATTCTGATTATTACTTCCCATGTGGCAATAAGTCTATATATATATGACAACCTATATATATATGTCAATTTTATATAGACCCTAATATGTTCTATTTGTTCATCCTTATCTTAAACTCATCCTTTGTTGTGATAATTTGTACAATTAACTAATATAATTATCTTTACAGTTCAGTGTTTCACCTTAATAGTACATTTTCTGTATTAAAGCTTCACTTTATTATAATAAAAACAGTTATTAAAACAATTCCTTGGTGTTATAATAATAAAATTTTTAATATTTATAATGCACTGAATGTTTGACCTAAATTGTGTTGGTCTTCATATTCAAGACTATTGGGTTTTTATTGCTAGTATTCTACACACAAGTGAGGAACAATTTACGTTTTAAATAATTATTATAATTGTTACTTGTTATATCCCAAATTTATCACATTTTTGTGTATTTTCATTGTTTTAGGGAAATTACTAAAAAATTAAAAGGTAACCCCCCTAATTACAGCTGCTGAAAAGAAATTCAAAGCATGAGTTTCTACATTTACAAAAAAGTGTTTTAAACTACAGACAATAATTAAACAAGTTGTGTTTTTCAATTAATTTTAATTTTTAAACTAGAATTAGTTATTTTAATCTGCATTTATTAATAATTCTATTAGCAATTTTAACTGCTAGAAGCCACAACCTTATTTTAAAAAAGTTTGTAGGTACATACTTTGATTTAAATGTGTAATGACTGTACATTATCGATTGATGTAGTTGTAACTGTGTTGATGTTCATAAGTGTATCTAGCTACCTACATAGATAAATGATTTTTTTATTTTATTTTAGTAGTACAAAGAGTTATAAATACATTTTCTCAGATTTATTGAGCAATTATTACCGAGTACTATGTAATAAAAAAAATAAGTCTCTCATATACATAAAAATTAACTTAAATAAAAATATTTTAAAGCAGTATTATGTATGTGCATCAATTTAATGTTTTCCTTATGTTGCTGTCATTGTGCATCGTAACGAGCATTGATTACTGATAAGTTGAATACTTATAATTAATGTTGTCTTTTGAGTTCTTCGATCTACATGAAATCTAGATACTTATAATCTATATCCTTTGTTATAGTATACATTAACGTATTGAGTGCCTAGTTTGTGTTATAAACAACTTAAAAATTAAACTTAATTACAAGCAAAGAATATTTTATATAAGATGAGATCAAAGAATCGGAAGAAACAAGTGTGTGTGTATGTGTTACAGTATTGTCTTTAGTTTAAGCGAGTAGTATTTAACGGTTTAAAACATTTAGATATAAGTAGACCAGACCAGGCCGTCGAGTCAAGGCCGAATTTTCCAAGTTTTACATAATGTTATAGAATACTTAAACTTGTAAATAAAACACTTTAACGGTTCGAAACGCGATATATTAGTTCAAACTTTTTTGAAAATGATTTTTAACTTCGGCCCAATGATTAGGATGCTTTGCAGTAGCCGTGGTCATGGGGAGACTGATACTTAAACATGTACTTATCAAAAGATATTGACCAAGTATGAGATTATTGTATATTACATAAAGTCTACATTTTATGACTTGATAAATAAGCATGGTATTAAAATGCTAAGTTTTATTGGGACAGATAAGTTAATTATTATACACTGTATTAATTAGAAAACATAATTGAATCGCACTGTGTTAGATGCTGGATCCTAAGCAGAGAATGAAATGGTCAGAAGTTTATGTGGCTCACCCAGAATCCCCAATATAGAATAACATACACTCCTAGTAAATGTTTACTAAGCTATATATGTGTTTTGTATGTTTGTTACAGCATTGGCAACCACCATTTGCCGTAGACGTTGATCGGCTACGCTTTACACCAAGGATACAGCGCTTAAATGAACTAGAGGTATAGTATAGTTACCTCCACTTAGTAATAAATATTTCAACATTCTAGAATAAGTTATCTTAATTATAACTCACATTTACAAATAATATTTTTAATATAGGTACTTACAAGGTACGAAGTTTTTGGTGAAATATGTCTTATTTTTAAGACAAGATTAGCATTTTCCTTATAGCGAAGTACCTTATTTGAAGAAAGGTATAATGTAATTTCTAAATACTTTAGACTGAGGTCTGTTTCACTTGATCATGGGTAAACTACCCCACCAAACATCAAACAAGATATGCTGTCGACCTATTTTGGGTCAGGATATTAAAAATGATTAATTTTTTTTTTATATAATTTTAGTATTGATTACTTACTTTGAAGATGAAACAATTATACTTTTCCAATAAGATTTTTCAGGTCATTAAGTCAATACATTTATGTATTCCACACTAAGGACACGTTCACTATTTTCCTTTTAATTTGCACAGGCTATAACCCGTGTTAAGCTGAATTTCCTGGATCAAATAATAAAATTCTGGGAGCTGCAAGGCTCAGTCCTGAAGATACCAACAGTGGAACGGAAACCGTTAGATTTGTATGCACTGCACAAGATCGTGCGGGAAGCTGGTAAGTTTATTTAACTTATTATATAATAATGCATGCTTATTTTAAACCGATTATAATGCGAATTATTTAAATTGCATTTTTATTTAAATCTATGTAGATTAGTAGATTCAATGACTTGGGGCCGGACTACTTATTTAGGGTATTGTTATTAGATACTCGAAAACTAGTAAAAGTCGTATTCTTATTCTGTTTACTAATAATTTGGTTCAATGGATTGTACGCGGTAAAAACCAGTATAGTGATTTAAACCAAAAAAACGGGGTTTAATATGTGGAATATATTAGATAACTTTTTTTAACTGTGGCCCGTCGTTTTGGATTTGTATCAGACGCGGTCATGGAATGAAGATGGATGGTCTCTTAAGTAAATCTGAAAAAAATATTTCGCGTTCTAAACAGTTCCAAAGTGTTTTATTTAAATGTGTACTATTTGCGTAAAATACAAAGAATACATAAGTTAGAGTGATTTTAGAATTAAATAAAATGCTATAAGCAGTGTAAAAACAAATTTATTAATATTTAACCAAATACAATGTTTTATCATGATATTGTTATAAATACGAAAAACTGTACCGCCTAACAGCTATTAATACCGGCGACTACCCACAGGTGGTTTCGAAGTGTGTTCAGCGGAGCGTAAGTGGTCCAAAATTGCTCGTCGCATGGGTCACCCGCAGGGTAAAGGGGATCGGGTCCATTCTGAAGAGTCACTACGAGCGCATGCTCTACCCCTACGACGTGTTCAAAAATAACGGCGTTGTGGGAGATAACAAGGAGACCGTAAGTTTACATTAGTTTAACAATTTTTGAATCGTTTGTTTAGATTTGTTAACCATCTGACAAGATTTTAATAAATTACGACCATGTTCGCTCAATTGGTTAGAGCAACGGAACGCTGCGGATGCAGGTTCAAGTCCCGCCCGTGTCGTATTTTTTTTTTCAATCAATAATTGATTTTTATTAATCGACCGGCCCAACATTTTTCTAATCAATTTATAAATTTTATGTAACGTGTTGGACTTCGTTTGTAAATCTGGATATGGAATGGGTGGTTGGGAATCGAAATGACGTCCGTGTTATGAAGATAAAAAAGCCGTGAAGTTTAATCGCGTTTCGGTTTCAGTCTGTGAATATCCGTATCTAAAACCAAAATAGGTCGACAGCGCATTTTGTTTACATGACACATGGTTGGGGTATTTCACCTACCATCGAGTGCTTGCTTGTCTGTCGTCCTCTATCACAAAAATCTGTCCGCATTGTTGCTCAGAAGTGGACAGTGTTTCAACATAGTAAATACAACATTGTAAAGATATCGGTTGCAATGTCACAACACAACCTCGCAACCCACTAATTATGTAACGTAATTATTTAGCCTTCAGACGTAGGTTTCAGTTATCTGATTTTCATGTTTCTAAATATGTAAATTGGTATTAATATGTTTAAAAAAAAATTTAATCACTGTTACTATTTCAAGAAATAGATCGCTTTTGTAGTTCACGACGACTACGACGTAAAAACGAATTAGGAATCATAGAATTAGGTCTAGTAAAAATTTAGATTCAGTAAGGGTGCCCTTGTACTATTCTTCATGCTTTAACCTAATAATCAGAGGACCCACCACGCTGCTACAGTAAGGATTGTGGGCTTTATAGTCTAATACCCCTAAATTAGTAATCATAACCTGGAGCGATACCTTAACGTTCTCTACTTCCAAACACCTGGCTGTTTCTAACACTCCAAATACGAAATTAACATTTTGCCTAACTGGAATTCGAACCCTAGACCATTAGACTAACGTTAGTAACTTTTATAAGAGATATAATATAAGAACGATTTTGCTGAATCATACTGCGTATTCTCACTTCATGACTTTTGTAGAAGATAGAAGTGAAAACGGAGCAAACGCCGGAAAAGGTGAATGCCCGGAGTCGTTCAGCGAGCAAAGGTCCTGCTGCGACACCGCCCCCTGGCCGCCGGTACAAGAGTTCGGAGCCCGAGGCCGCTGAAGGCAGTCATACAGAAGGGGCTCTTCCAGGTACAGATGACAAGAAGACCCCGATTAAAGAGGAACCTACTGAGAACAGGAGGAGTAAGTAATACATATTTTCATACAGCTAGGACCTTCTAGTCCGTTAGGAGTTATAATAATATTGTCATATATGACTTTAAACTAAATGTTTTTGTCTTTATCATGTATATACAAAAATAAACATAGAAGATAACACCTCATGCAATAACATTCAATATAATTACTGCATATATCTAGTTTTGTTATTATTTTCTCTTGGGGTCACCAATCAAAGCTGGGTGGTCAGTCAACATAAAATTGCTTAATCCCCGTGAGGGAAACCTTGGGAATAACCTAACTTCCACCATGTGAAGTTAGGTTTTTCCCGTTAGTAAGGAAGCAAAGAAAAGTGTATTCCAAGATTACTTATGATGAAAAGCAGTTGCCTTGTCTACTATTGAATTTATACACACGAAAGAGGTTGAGTAATATTTAGACTGTTTTTAATAATATCTTTTTACAGTATCATCTATTCCATATGTTCCAAAAATTTGGTATCACTAGCCAAATAAACTAATACAAAATCACGATACTAAAAAAAAATAAAACAGGTCCCCGCGAGAACAAATGGATGTCGACAGCTGCGTCCTGCGGCGCCCGCGCACGCGTGTTGCGCTCAACCAAACTGCGCGAGCACAGACTGAGCAATATGACCGTATCAGTGACTCCGGCGCCGGTACCCCCAAGCACTGCGCCCAGGCCTTTGGATCCCGTAAGTATTATTCTTTTGAAAAATCAGGGTATTTAAGGTTTTCTTCAGACTATGCCTACATGATGTATAATACATACAAATGAAGTCAATATGTAAGTGTGAATAATGTATGGTATGTTACAAAATCTATATTTTTTTATGAAAAGAACTTAAGACAGTCAAACAAGGGGGTTTCAATTGATGGTAATATTACAGCCATATAACATCTAAGCGAGATGCGACTAATGTTTTGGACATCTAAAAATGTACAACTTCCACTTCACGGCTTCGCTATTTCTGGACGGTGGTTCATTTTCTGGATGGAATTTTGATATTTCAATCGCTACATTCTAAACGAAGAATATCTCAGAATTTTCTAAACGAATACATTAATTTCAGAAAAAATTAAGGCATATAAATTAATAATAGTTATAAAAGCATTTTAAACAATGTTTCACTTTCCTAATTTGGGTTCTTATATTTTTTATAAAAAAAAAAACATATTTTTACTTAGTTGGCGAAATATATGTGTCACATATGTGGAAGAGGTGACATCGAGGAGCAGATGTTGTTGTGTGATGGGTGCGATGACTCTTATCACACCTTCTGCCTCGTGCCACCGCTTGCTGATGTGCCCAAGGGAGACTGGAGGTGTCCCGTATGCTTAGCTGAGGAGGTCAGTTACAGGGGAAATCTTAATAATCAACTAGTAATATTTGTCTTTCGATTCGGAGTCTAACAATTTAATTAAATAATACACATTGTAATATTTGTGAAAAAGTAAATGTTAGGTTGTGCCCACCAGATCTTAAGTGAATCACAGCTTAAGTTGGAGGTCTAAGCGATGTAGTGGTACAAAGGGGATTCCGTATTGTTTAAAATTCCGCACATGATTGGCTCCTGTATCCAACAATAAATTTCAATCAGTCTAGGCACAGAAGTCTCATTAGCTGTAAAGGAAATCGATGAGCGAGCAACTTATAATATAATTACCTTCTCATTTGCCCCACAGGTGTCAAAACCCACTGAAGCGTTTGGCTTTGAGCAGGCATCCCGAGAGTACACTCTACAGCAATTCGGTGAAATGGCTGATCAGTTCAAGTCGGATTATTTCAATATGCCTGTACATGTAAGTATAGACATACTATTTCATTTTATATGTTAGGTAATTGATGGAAATGTTATTTATAAAAACCAAGAGTTTAATACAATAATGAAAGGCAATAATTGAGGCCACTAGAGGCAGAATAGCCTAACTGCAATTTTATGACTTGACATAGTTAAAGTCTAAAAATGGTAATCTACAGAGCACAGAGATCGAAAATTGTTAACAGAATTTTTACACATAGTTTCGCCCGAAGTGATTGCGCATTTTTATTTTCTCCCTTATTGAAAATCATGTTTTTTGTTATTAGACTACTGTGCCTCTTAAGAGGCCAATTATTAACTGGTTCCCTTAATTTAATCACTACTACATGCTACTGCACAAGCTTACACTTATACACTTGTCACCACTGCTTCTTATTTCCTCCTTAATGACGTCATCTCAGTATTGCTCTAACATTATAAATGTATATAAAATTTATGCTGATCTGTCTGTGTAGATGGTACCGACATCCACGGTGGAAAGGGAATTCTGGCGAGTTGTGTCGTCCATTGATGAAGACGTTACTGTTGAATATGGAGCCGATCTTCATTCAATGGACCATGGATCAGGTGAGTTAATTATCTTTTAATACGTAATTTTACAACAAAGGACGGTCAAGCGCAAGTTTAACTTGACAGAAGGAAATATGCCACTGATCCAAATCTAAGATGTGCTGTCTACCTATTTTGTTTTTAACTGAAACGCGAACTTTACAGCTTTTAATTCGGTTGTTGGTTGTTAACAGTCAATGAATGTCTAGAAATTCTTATTACATATTTTAGGAACATTAACCTAAAGTGGTACAGTAACATGTTGGATCCAGTTGAATTAAACCTGCTACATATATCTTACATAGACCAAAGCGTCTGTTTGTTCTTTTGCTAAGATAATTTTCTTCGTCTATATCAAATGTGCCACATTTTAATGTATTGGATTCTTTTACAGGATTTCCAACAAAGTCAAGCGCACACCTGTATCCCGGTGAACAACAATACGCAGAATCAAGTTGGAATTTGAACAATTTGCCCGTTCTAGAGGGCTCTGTACTCGGTCACATTAATGCTGATATTTCTGGAATGAAGGTAAATATTAAAGAGCAGATTTGTGTGAACAGATAATGGCAGACATTGTGTTAATTTGATGGAAGTACCATACCATAAAACATTCAAACTAGAGAAGACTTTCGACTAACACCAAAACTTTTCCAACTATGATTTAGACAATATTTTGATATTGTTATCCATTAAATAATCCGAATTTCCTGATGAAGAATAAACATTTTCAGGAACATTATAAATGGATGCTAATATTGGATTCAGAACTTGTTATTATTAACCATATAATGCTTCCACAAGACCTTAGAATATAAGATTTTTTTAAATAAAACTTGTCTAATCTTCGTAGGTCCCATGGCTATATGTGGGCATGTGTTTCGCAACTTTTTGCTGGCACAACGAGGACCACTGGAGTTACTCCATCAATTATCTTCACTGGGGTGAACCAAAGACATGGTACGTGGTTCTATTATAATGTGTTAATTGTTTAAAGACCTTTTAGATTTTTCTACACTTTTAAGTTCCCCCATCTAGTCCCCTTCCTCTATTCTCCGTCCTTTTCAGTTCTTCCGTGACCACGGAATCTGCAAAGCGTCCGAAACTTTAACGTTAAAATAAGTTGTTAATAATTTTAACTAATACATTTCGCGTTTAAAAACGTAAAAAAACTTATTTAAATGTGTACTACTCGCGTGAACTACAGATAGTGATAACTGTTGTTTTATTTATTTGCGTAGATGTTGATGATAAAAACAATGTTTATATATTATAGGTACGGAGTGCCAAGTTCAAAGGCGGAGCAGTTCGAAGCGGCCATGAAGGCAGAAGCTCCTGAATTGTTCCAACTGCAGCCGGATCTGTTACACCAATTAGTCACCATCATGAATCCCAACGTTTTGATGAAGGCCGGTGTGCCCGTGTACAGGTAAGGACCAACAATTAAGCGAGACTCTAGTCTTTTACGAAAACGACTACTGAGGTTTTTTTTAATGACAGAGAAGAACAGACAAGCATATGATTCACTTGATACTACGTGCAACACTCCATCCTAAAGATGCAAACAAGATGCGCTGTTGACCTTTTGGGTTTGGATATTCGGAAATCCACAGATTGAATCCGACACGTGATTAGAATTCACGGATTTTTCATCTGTGGACGGTTCGTGACTCGAACCTCCACCTCATTTAATATCCACATTCTCCAGACGAAGTCCGACATGTTTCAGAGGAATTATTAATTGATTAGAAGAATGTTGAACCCTATGGGGATCGAACCCACGAATCGTTGATTATTAGCTTTACATTGCTATCATTACACCAACGAGCAGTCAGAGACTCGTGTATTTCATTTCTTGGTTGAAAAACGGTCATCATCGCTGAAGTTGCCATCTCTGTTGTGGGGAAACGCCAAGTACCAATTTTTTTATGACGATGGTTAAACAACTTCTAAAAACCTAAAGGGAAGTTTCATACTTATTGCTAAAATATATTCGTTTGTAGAACGGATCAGCACGCAGGCGAGTTTGTGATAACGTTCCCGCGAGCGTACCACGCTGGGTTCAATCAAGGATATAACTTTGCTGAAGCCGTCAACTTTACTCCGGCGGATTGGGTGAGTCTCCTTTTTTTAGATATAACAATTTAATAGAAAAAAGTAACCTAAATTCTAATCGGTAACTCAATCGGCAGGGAAACTCTACGGAACACCTCTCGTTTCGTCTCTATCTACACAATGACTACAACTTAAAAGCAAGTTTAGCTTAAACATAAAACTCGATAATACAAAAAATACATATAGCACTTAGAAAAAATACACAATATATGAAGACATGAAACGACTAAACTGGGAGACACTAATTAAATAAAACACTTAATGGTTTAAAACGCGGTATATATTAGTTAAACTTATTTTAAAATGATTTTCGAATTCATTCATGGGGCCGTAGTAAAAATAATTTCCAAACAAGTAAAACCAAATATATATCCTGTTTTAAACTTTTAAAGTCGTTTATTTAAATGTGCACTACTCGCGTAAACTACAGACAGCGGGAGACAATACTCATGTAACTTTTGTTCCAGTTAAAAATGGGTCGAGAATGTATAGCTCACTATTCTACTCTACGGCGTTACTGCGTCTTCTCTCACGATGAGCTCGTCTGCAAGATGGCACTTGAGGCTGACACTTTGAGTCTAACAGTGGCTCTAGCCGCCTATCGCGACATGAGGACCATGCTCCATGATGAGAGGAAATTGAGAAAAGCTCTTTTGGACTGGGTAAGAATGATATAGATATGATGATCTTTAGTACTTTCAATTCGGCTTTATGGTGTTTGAATTTCAGTTTCTTTAATTCGAACTTCTGGAAATGGCAATTTTCAAAGTTATGACTAATTATGATAATTTTTATACAACGGTCCAAATAAAAATATCTTATTGATATTATTATTTATAAATATAAGTACGAGTTTAAGATATTATATTATCTATTTATACTTTTTGACAATGCAAATAAAATCTATCCTCGTAAAATTCGCGTTTTAAACCGTTTTATTTTTTTGCAGGGTGTAACGGAAGCTGAACGGGAAGCCTTCGAATTACTTCCGGACGATGAGCGTCAGTGTCACCTTTGCAAGACTACGTGTTTCCTATCGTGCGTGACCTGCGCCTGCACACAGAACGTCGCTTGTCTCCGACATTTCCATCAACTTTGCGATTGTGCTCCCGCTACTCATAAATTAAGGTAACCTATAGGATACCAGTAGGTGGCATCAGGAGATGAAGTGGAAACACAAACATCTATATAGAAACATAGACTTTTTTAATTAACTTATTAACATTTACTTTACAGTTTCGTTGAAAATATCATTAAAGGTAAAGGAACGGTAGTAGTTTATAGTAGTACCAGTAGTTTATTCCTGCCGTTTTCAGTAACTTAGGATGTCCGTAAAAAGTCTTTAAAATCCCCTAGTATCTAAGTTCAATATATAAACTAGTGTTTTTAGTGTAAATCAATGTAAACCTAGTGAGAAAATCACGGTCTCATATTAATTGTGTGTATGTTTACCAAAAATGCCAAGTTAGAAAAATACACTATATTATAAATCATTTTACGACTTTGTCAGATATCGTTACACTTTGGACGAGCTACCAGCAATGTTGGAGAAATTGAAGCGCAAGTCCGAGCAGTTCCGCGAATGGGCGGAGGCAGTGCAGAATGCACTCGACCCGGACACGCCCAAAACTTGCGATCTGGACGGGCTGCGGGCGCATCTGAAACGAGCTCATGATCTCAAAGTGAGTATATAAAGTGTGAATTGGTTGATTACTCGGCTGTCACATTAAGATAAACTATTTAACTTACGACAATTTATTTAACGCTACATTATGCAATAACTTACGTTTAAATTACGCTCTAGTTTTCCTAAAGTCAAAATAAATATATTTCGCATTTTGCACCGTTAAAATTTTAACAGTCCTGTAGCTCAATGATTAGCCATGTAGCATTGAGTTAAGCAAGAGAGGCTCTTGATTCGAATCCCAAGAGTACAAATAATTTTTTTCTGTCGGGAAGGGCAGAAAAAAATTGGGCATCTAATAACTCAAGTAGATATTACGTCATTTTAATAATTCTATATTTGATTGTTATTTATATTTACTTAAACAAACTTCTTAAATATACTTAAGCAGAAATTTAAAATCTCTTTTTGGACTTTACAGATGCACAAAACGGAGCTGGTTCGCGCACTAGAAACAGCCATCGAGGACGCTGAGAAATGCGCATCTGTGATACAACAATTGGATTTAAACAAAATGCGTACGCGCACACGACACCACGATCCCAAGTACAAGCTGACTATTCACGAGCTGACCCTGTTTGCTGCTGAAATCGATGGACTGGCTTGTGTTCTACCAGAAGGTAGGTTTATTACACAAAACAATTCAATAGTCATTTTATTTAAAGAAAATACTTTAACGGCTTAAAACGCGATATATATTAGTTAGACTTATTTGAAAATTATTTTTAACTACACACCGGCGTTTTGGATGCTTCGCATCGGCCGTGGTCACGGAAGACTA